GGGTAGAGGTGGTCAGTGGAGCAGGGATGAAGAAGAAACCATGAAACGGCCCAGAACCCGAGAAATGGGACCCCTTCCTTGCCCGTTGATGCGACTCTCATCGCTGTGCCCTCTTCAACACTACGCTCTCTCTGCTATCTAATCACTCGCCACGTATAGACCTGCGGCGAGTGATTAGATAGTCGGTGGGCGTACCCGCCAACCGCGCCAAGAGTGAGCCATGCTAGATCGCCGAGGTCAAATCTTTCGCTGCCAATTGCGCGTCGGTCAGCACCCTCAGGAGGTCCGCCTGTCTCCCAACTATGCAATTTTCCCCTTCTTTGACCTTCGTTCTTATCGTGAATTCCTCCTTTAAAGCTTAGAAAGCATTACTGAGCCAGGATTCAAACTTAGATCTACGTTGAAATAAGCAGCAAATAAATGACGTTAAGAGCTTTTGAGTACAGCTATATGTGTAGTTGCTTTCAACTTACTGGCATAGTTGAGCTTCTTGAATCCGTATTCTTCGGTTAGGTAGGGTGTTACATCGATTTCTCCGTTGAACTTGATGTTGTCAAGATGAGGAACTAAAATTAACAGATTTCGAGATTTATAAAGAAAATGTGGGCTTGATAGCTGCTTGGACGAAGAGCTGAATTCCAGGAATAATATAAAAGGTTGTCATACCAGTGACGTCAAGGATGGCGGACGAACTGGCCGAGCCATGGCAATTCCTGGCCACGGCCACATACTCGCCAGCGTCATCGACGGTGGTGTCCAGAACAATCAAGGCATGTGATCCGCCGCCACAGGACTGAATAATTGAGGGTTTTCTGAGAGAGCGTAGTGTTGAAGAGGGCACAGCGATGAGAGTCGCATCAATGCTCGAATCAACGGGCAAGGAAGGGGTACCATTTCTCGGGTTCTGGGCCGTTTCTCATGGTTCTTCCTTCTTTCGTGTACCACTCACCATCCCTAGGTTAATTTGAAATGGGTTGCTTTTTCATCGTGAATTCGTCCTTTAAAGGCAGGATACGATTGAACTAGAGGCTTATTTGATAACGGGTTTAGAGGTGGTCAGATGGAGCGCAGGGATGAAAAGAGACATTTAAAACGCCAAAACTGAAATGGGACCCCTCTTGCCAGCTGACGATGATCATGCTGTGCTCCCTATACACCATTACGACTCCTCTGCTAGGTATCACGCTGGCGTATAGACCGCGCGGCGAGAGTGGTCACAAGAGTGTGTGGATGTGCCTCACGACCGCACAAGACGAACCTTTTTGGGGGACTTAGATTGCCGAGGGTCAAATTTTCGTGCCGTTGCGCGTGAGCGTCCGCCAAACATCAGGACGTCCGTCTGTTCCCGGAAATGGACAAATTTTCCCCTCTTCGACCTACGTTAGCGGACTTTCTTACCGAACTCCTCTACCCTATCCTTCACAAAATTGATACGCCCTTTACCCAGTTGCTTCATGAGGATAGCAAAAATAACGAAAAATAAGAGTTGGTTCCGATATTAATTCAAACAACCAGGGAATTTATAGTAACTTTGAATTCCCGCCGTAGAACTGACACACGGTTGGCGCTGTGGAGCCAACACGTATACAGGGGTGGCCAAAAAAAAGAGACACTTGACTCCACATTTCAGACAGCATTAATTACACTTTGCTAGAATCATATCGACTGCCCCCAACTCATTATTCAAGAGCACCTTCTTATCTATCCAAATCTTATACGACAGCATTCTACACCGACGACATCAGAAGATTTTCCCACAGAAATATAGTTCGCGATACGAGCTCAACGGGGTCGTCGAGGTACCATGGACCATTACGACGTCCCTGAAACGATGGTCAAAAGTGGTTTTGCATAGTCACAGCTAATGTCTCGAGGAAGCTATTTAATCGTCAATCCATTGAAGAAATCGTGAAGTAGCTTCAGGCCGGAGCGATTACGGTAAGCCTCGTTGAGCTCGACGGTGGCGGTAGATGACGTCATATTCTGGAGACGGCGGGGACAGCGAAGGAGGGGCTGCTTCTGTTACGGGGGAACACCTATGGAGTATTACGCCGTAGAACTTTCACTAACATCGGCACTCTGTGCGACGAAAAGTTCGATGATGTGCGCCATGGGCAAAGTGTCTCTTTTTTTTTGGCCACCCCTGTAGATGACGTTATGAGCGTTAAAGTGAACGGGTTGCATGGTAATCCTTCCCAGAAATTTACACGGGCTTCGCACATACCACGCACTTCGTCACAAAAGTA